CCATTAAGAAGGCTGTCCCCCTTTTTGGAAGACTTCACGCAAGGAGAAGTGGGTTAATAATTCTAGAAACTCCCGTTGGGGCTTGACTTTTAAAACACTGATGCAAAATTGTTTGGTAGTTAGCAATCTGCATGTACTGAATGTTATTTTGATTAGTACAAAAACTTACAACAGATACAATGGTATCATCAGTAAATGCCTCAAACAGTCTTTTAAACAGTAAGAATACAAAAATAAATAAGTGCAAACAGACTAATAGCACATCCTCAACAACAAATTAATAAAATACAAAATCTGCATCTCTAGTAGGTAAGGCACGAATGTCGTTATCAACATTTGTAATGCAGGCAAAGAATTCACACAATTTTTCTACAAAGTAAGATTGTTTTGAAGGGCTCAATTATTCTGTAGTTGTATAGACTGGGTGACCAGATTTTGGCCCGTCGTTCTGATGTCAAAGTGATTTCGCGACCCTTATTTGATATCCTCCAACAGTTGCCAAAGGAAAATAGCAGGAGAAAACTCATAGCGCACCCCTTTTCTCACACCCAGAATGAGCTAAGGTTGCCAGCCTCCAGGTGGGGCCTGGAGATTTCCCAGAATTGCACTAGATCTTCGTACTACAGAAAGCAGCTCCCCTGGAGAGAATGGAGGCTTGGAAGTGTGGGCTCTGATGTCCCCCCACTCCCCAAACCCTGCCCTCTTCAGCCCCCCCCCACAAATTTCCAGGAATTTACCAACCTGGAGTTGGCAACCCAATTAGCTACCCTGCCGCTGCCACCACCATCAGCCTCGGAACTCTGTTTTGCTGTGTTCATTCACTCTGCCGTGGCTGTCCTGTGCTAGTGGGAAAGCAAAGCACATGCTTGCTTTTTCAGCTAAAGGCCTGATGTTAGAGAAACCATCGTGGTCCTTCGACACGTTGCCCACCACAACTTCAGAATAAGCCTGGGCGTGCAAAGACTGTCTGTGCTGCCCTGTTCCTCCGTGCTCATGCACTTGGTGTAGTGGTTAAGTGCGCGGAGAGAACCGGGTTTGATTCCTCACTCCTCCACTTGCAGCTGCTGGATGACCCTGGGCAAGCCACAGTTCTGTCAGAGCTGTTCTTGGAAAAGAGCAGTTTCTGTCAGAGCTCTCTCAGCCCCATTTACTTCAAAGGGTGCCTGTTGTGGGGAGGGGAAGGGGAAGGAGTTTGTAAGCCGCTCCGAGACTCCCTTGGTTAGTGAAGGGCGGGGTATAAATCCAGTCTCCTCTTCTCTTCTTCTTCTTCTACTTAGTTTACCACGTGCCTTCCCGGGGCACGCACACTCCCGTATTGGCCATGCCGAATCCATTAAGCAGCAAGTAAGAAATGGGGGGGGGGGGGGTTGCGAGGGGGGACACACACACAACATTGCAGACATCAAGTGGGCAGCTGTGTTTGTCTGTAAGAAGAGAATGAAGTCTGAGTCCATTTGCACCTTTAAGACCATCAAAGTTTTGTTCTGGGTATAAGCTTTCATGTGTATGCATACTTCAGGGTATGGGGAGGGGAAGGGAAGGGAAGGGAAGGGAAAGGAGTTTGTAAGCCGCTCTGAGAGTCCGAGTGAAGGGCGGGATATAAATCCAAACTCCTCCTCCTCCTCCTCCTCCTCTTCTTCTTCTTCTTCTTCTTCTTCTTCTTCTTCTTCTTCTTCTTCTTCTTCTTCTTCTTCTTCTTCTTCTTCTTCTTCGAAAGGAGTTTGTAAGCCGCTCTGAGAGTCCGAGTGAAGGGCGGGATATAAATCCAAACTCCTCCTCCTCCTCCTCCTCCTCTTCTTCTTCTTCTTCTTCTTCTTCTTCTTCTTCTTCTTCTTCTTCTTCTTCTTCTTCTTCTTCTTCTTCTTGTCATGGCTGCCAGCTTGTGAAACCAGGGTCACAACCTTGAGAGCAATCAGTGTGTGGGAGACTGATAAGAGGTTTGTTCCTCGGCTGACTGGTGGTGTAAATATTATGATGTTGGAATACTGCCTGATGTAACGGGAAGCATTAGTGACTGTGATGTAAACAAACACAGACACGTTCTTCGAGTTGAAAAATTGTCGCGGCATTTATTGTGGAATGGTATGGCATTAGAGAGTTAGTAATATAAAACAAGAGCGTTTATTTAGACCTTCCAGATCGATATTTCTACTAACAGAAAGGTAGAATTTTAGCCGGAACACTGAGGCCTAGTATGGTAAGACAGGGAAGCGTGTTGGGGGTTGCATTGGAAGGGTGCCTCAGAAGCATTGCCAGAAGGGACTGGTGCCGTCCAATCCGATGCCCTGGCCTGCTCCTGAACTCGCAGAAAGGCTTCTGGCCCATCCAAAGATTCCCACCGTGGCCCAAACTTGCAGAGCTGTCCGTTAGCTGAGGTGGCTTTAAAAAGTCCTAAAGCGGGCCATGGGGGGAGGCAAGCTATCAGTGTCTAGTCCAGGGCTGGCCAGGCTTGCTTAACGTAAGAGCCGCATAGAAGAAACAACAGATGTTTGAGAGCCGCGAGACATGAACGGATCTTACGTGTTTTTCTTGGGAAACGTGCAGATTTGCTTTTTATGAACATTAAACGAGCCTGCCAAAAATAATAACAAAAGGGGTAAAAGCAAATATTTATAGGGATCCCAAGTCCCCCCCAGAGGCCCGTTCCCCGGTGTCGCCGGATGGGGCCCCGGGCGGAACTCCACCCCGACGTGCGCATCACCCGGAAGTGACGCAGGCATGCCGGGCACGCTGGGGGCGGGGCCAAGGCCATACAAGGGAAAACTCTATGTTTTCCCCTTGTATGGCCGTGGCCCCGCCCTCAGCGTGCCTGGCGTCCTCCCGTCACTTCCGGGTGATGTGCATGCGGCGCGCGCGCACAAGACACCGGCCGGGAGCCCCCCACTCCCGACGAAGATAGACTTGGCAACCCTAGATATTTATAATGATAGTTATTTGTCCAATGGTTTTTGTTTGCTGATGATATTTAGCTTCTCCAGCCGCCCTGCTGGGAGCGGTACAATATATGTGAAAGAGCCACATGCGGCTCCCGAGCCACAGCCTGGCCACCCCTGGTCTAGTCAGTTGCTGTAAATGGAGCCTCCATGTTTGGACGCAGTACATTTCTGAATCCCCAGTGTCTGAAGGCTGTCCTTGGCCCCCTTGGGCATTTCCCAGAGATGTTTCGGTAATACCTGTTGGATCCTCTAGAGGGCATCGTACCTGGCTGAGATCCCTCCCCTTCAGCCAACCCCCAGGCCACACCTCCCAAATCTCCAGGAATTTCCCAAAGCCTGCAATGGTGGCATGGCGGGTTGGCTTTCTCTGTAGATACAGGCGTGATGAGAGGCATCATCGTGAAACCCGGTCATGTCCTGCTTGAACAGCGTTTGCAGTGTTGGGCTTAACCCTGGAGTGTGGGGTGGAGGAGGAATTGTACAGAAAAGAGTGTGTTCCTGAGCACGTGCAGAAAGCAGTTCCCTTGCCTTGGAACAAATGTGGTCTGCAACACACACGTATGGGTAGAGAAAAGACTTCCAAGGCAGCGGCTTGTGCTTCAGCAGTCACCTGTTCCAAAATCAAGCAGCACCTTGATCCACTCATATTGAGAGATAGATCAAGATGGGTCACCATGTTTGTCTGTAGCAGCAGAAAAGAGCAGGAGTCCAGGAGCACCTTCCAGACTAGCAAAATTTGTGGCAGGGGAAGGAGCTTTAGTGAGTCATTCCTCACTTCTTCAGATACAGCTAGAATCAGCATTGGTAACGAGACAGGAAACCTTGGTCTCTGTTCAGTTCAGGTGGATGCATTGTCTTGAGCTTCATGATCAGCGGCTGAATTTATAACCCGCCCTCCCCGCGAACGGGCTCAGGGCGGCGTACAGATGGGGCCAATGCCCAATACATAAAACATTAAAACTGCATTTAAAAACATTCAATACAACTTAAGTGCTCGCCATAATATCTAACAAGGGAACAGATGACGTCATCAGGATAGTATCCTTAGTGGCCACAGCTCCACACAGTACCACCATTTTAGCGCTCACGGCAAGTTGGTAATAAAGGGCTAGGACAGATAGTAGTAGTCTTAGACAGATGGTTACAGTCGTGGCGGCTCCTACTCAAACGCCTGGCAGAAGAGATCCGTCTTACAGGCCCTGCGGAACTGTGCAAGGTCCCACAGGGCCCGGATCTCCTCTGGGAGCTCATTGCAATTGATAATGACGCTGAAGACAATGCATCCGCCTGGACTGAATAGAGACCAAGGTTTCCTGTCTCATTACCAATGCTGATTTCTCCAAGCCTATGACCCCTCTGCACATCTCACCTAAATCCAATCATGCCTGCTAATGTCATTCGGCATCTGAAATCACACCACTTTCCAATAAATAGGTCAGATGGAGTCCCCCATTCTAGCTGTATCTGAAGAAGTGACTGCAGTGACTCATGCAAAGCTCCTCCCCTGCCACGAATTGTGTTAGTCTTTAAGGTGCTCCTGGACTCTGGCTCTTTTCACATGGAGAGGTTGGGGAGGGCCTCTGGCCCAGGCTACCAGGCCCTTCTCCGAGGTTCTTGAAGAAGGCTGATTAATGTTTGATGCTCTTTGCCTACTGAGGAATGTTAAGACTTGAGATTCGGGTGCGTGGATGCTGGTGGTGGTGGGACGTATCCCGTAAAACGGACGTTTTCAATCATGGGCTTGGATTCAGCTGTAGTTTCTGTGGACAGAAGGAATGAAACGCACCTTTCCTGCCTCCTCCTCCTGTTGCAGCCCAGAATGGCCCCCCAAATGCTGAGGCTGGGGGGAGACCCCCTGGACAGGCAGTGGGGGCGTCAGTGAGAATTGCCCCCTTGTGTTCTCGGAGATCCTCAAAAAAAAAAAAATGAACGTTTTCAAAGATTTAAAATTTTCATTTCAAATTTCCAGACCTCCCCTAAATCTTGAACCTGTGCAAATTGTGCTGTTGGCCCCCTTGCGAACTTCATGTCCCCTGAAGTAACAGCTCCTCGGTCTTTTTCTAGGTTTCTGGGTGAAGCCCGCGTGCCCCTTCGAGACGTCCTGGCTTCTCCGCACCTGGCTGCCAGCTTCAATGCCCCTCTGCTGGATGCCAAGCGGCAGAACACCGGGGTAAGTGCCTCGCGGAGGGGGGCAGCCGGTCTCTCGCTGACCCACAGCCAAAGAAACGGGGCTGGTGGCTGGTTGCTGTGGTCGGCGATGGCCCTCGGATACCCGAGGCATCGTTCCTTTTAACCGGCAGTGGCTCCCTTGGGTATGAGATCTGGGCTTCAATGCGGATCTTTGAAACAAGGCCCTTGCAGAGGAAGATGAGGGACTGAGCATGCCTCGGGGACATGGGCCTGTGTTTGCTTGTAGTTCTTTGTGTAGGAACATACTTCATATAGTAACTGTCCTACTCAGGGCTATTTTGGGGCAGGAATGCACAGGAACGGAGTTCCGGCTGGCTCCCGAGTTGGCCACGCCCAGCAGGAACTCATTAGCATAATAAGCCACACCCAACAGCTACATAAGGGGTGTGTGGCCTAACACGCAAAGGAGTTCCTGCTACAAAAAAAGGCCCTGGGTTTTGACAACAAACAAGGTAAACTGAATAAGAAGCAAAAGGTGGGTGTGGCTGGATGACCACACTTCTGGTAACATGGGGGTGTGGCCTAATGTGCAAATGAGCTGTGCTGTCAGGGGTGTGGCCTAACATGCTAATATGTTTCTGCTGTTGGGTGTGGCCTGTTATGCTAATAAGTTCCTGTTGGGCTTTTTCTACCAAAAGAGCCCTGGTAGCCTACCTTGAATAAACCTTTGTTGGTCTTAAAGGTGCCACTGGAATCTAAATTGGTTCTACTGCTTCAGACCAACACGGCTAACCAACAGGATCTATCAACATGTAGGGTGAAAGGTATAATAAGAACATAATACCATTTAAAATATACATTAAAATCATTAGAATCTTTAAAATCATGCCGGAAGGAGAAAAGAGATGGAGCCCTGTGTATGTACGGCTCTATGACTTACTGTGAAATTTTATCACATGAACACAGAACTTGGCTGTTTTCCTGGAGATACTTGGGTTCTCATTCTATTAAAAGTTTCTCTGGGCAGGCCTCATCCGCAACCCCTTTTGGTCTTTAGGAGGCAGCTGAAGATGGTTTTATTTAGAGCTGCAGTTGACTGATCTGGCTCTTATTTATTGGCGGTCCAAATTGAGAGTTTCAATCATGGTATTTTATGTGTTTTTTTTTTTTTTTAATAATTGCTGATTTATTTACACTGTAAGTCTGCTTGAGTTCCACAAGGTAGAAAGGTGGCTAATAAGCCTTTTAGACAAATAAATAAATAGAAGAGAGAAGAGAAGAAATTGGATTTATACCCCGCCCTTCACTACCCAAGGGAGTCTCAGAGCGGCTCACAAACTCCTCTCCCTTCCCCTCCCCACAACAGACACCTTGTGAGGTCGGTGGGGCTGAGAGAGCTCTTGACAGAAACGGCTCTTTTTCAAGGACTGCTCTTGTCAGAACTATGGCTTGCCCAAGGTCACCCAGCCAGGTGCAAGTGGAGGGGTGGGGAATCAAACCTGGTTCTCCCAGATTAGAGTCCACGCACTTAACCCCTACACCAAACGTAACCACTACACCAAACTACACTACACCAAGAAGAGATTGGGTTTATACCCCGCCCTTCACTACCCAAAGGGAGTCTCAGAGCAGCTTACAAACTCCTTTCCCTTCCCCTCCCCACAACAGGCATCCTGTGAGGTCAGTGGGGCTGAGAGAGCTCTTGACAGAAACGGCTCTTTTTCAAGGACAGCTCTTATCAGAACTACGGCTTGCCCAAGGTCACCCAGCCAGGTGCAAGTGGATGAGGAGTGGGGAATTAAACCCTGTTCTCCCAGATTAGAGTCCACGCTCCCAACCACGACACCAAACTGGCTTGAACACACATGATCGTGCATGAAGCTGCCTTATACCAAATCAGACCCTTGGTCCATCAAGGTCAGTATTGCCTACTCAGTCTGGCAGCCGCTCTCCAGGGTCTCAGGTAAAGGTCTCTCACATCACCTCCTGCCTGGTCCTTTTGACTGGAGATACCGGGGATTGAACCTGGGACCTTCTGTGTGCCAAGCAGAAGCTCTATCACTGAGCCACAGACCGTCCCAGACAAATGCACAAACCACACAAGAAGCTGCCTCATACTGAATCAGACTCTTGGTCCATCAAGCACAGTATTGTCTGCCAGACCCGTGGCTACGGTGGGGCTTTTGCATGCTCTGCCCCCTTTCTTTAAGACACAGCCCCACAAGAATTTCTCCTGTAAATGCTTTTTTCAACTATTTAAAAATGTTTTTAAAGGCATGTGCTTCTTTAAGCAGAATGGATTGCCACAGCTGACTAATTCCCGCACTGAGCCAAGGAGGCTGGAGTAGGTGACCTCTAGGATACCTTCTAACTCTGTGTCAAGAAACTGGTCTCCTTTAGGAGAGTTTTTGTGCCTAGGTGTTAGCTTTCTTGACTAGAGAAGTCATCACCACCCCCACCTGCTGGCTTGTTCTCAGAATTGTTGCTTCAGCTAGCAGAAGTGATTAACTTGCAGCAGCTGAGAACGGTCATCTCAAGGGGGCTGACAGCTTGCAATTCAGAGATCTATCCTGGCAACAGCTTTCTATTGGCTAAATGGCTATTCTTTCTGCACTGAGAACTTCAGCCCCACCAGAAGAAAACTTGCCCCACCAGCCACAAAATCCGGGCTAGGGGCCTGTAGTCTACTCAGACGGGCAGCCGCTCTCCAGGGTCTTAGGCAGAGGTCTATCATGTCACCTCCTGCCTGATCCTTCTGAACTGGAGATGCCAGGGATTGAACCTGGGGCCTCCTGCATGCCAAGCAGAGGCTCTACCACTGAGCCATGGCCCCTCCCCTACTTCTATGCAATCATATTGTATTACGGCGACCCACAATTATGAATGCTCCAATCACATCCAGGTTAGATTGCTACTATAATGGGTTTTACGTGGAGCTGCCCTTGAAGACTGTCCAGAATAGAGTTGCCAGCATTGCCGGGAAACCTCTGGAGATTTTGGGGATGGGGCCTGAGGAAGGTGGGGTTTTGGGATGGGGTCTTTCAGGCCCCCCCCTCCCCAAGCTGTGAATGGCCTTAAAGGTAAGAAGCAGCACTTTGAATTCTACAAAGCCAGGTAGCGAGTGCAGATCTCTCAGCACAGGGGTGATACGATCTCACTATCCGTTCCCCATCAACAGCCTGGGCCCTGCATGTTGAACCAAAGGATGCTTCTGGACTAGAGTTGCCAACCTCCAGGTGGTAGCTGGTGATCAGTGTTCCCTCTAAGCTGAGTTTGCGTGAGTTAGCTCGCAGTTTTTTAGCCTCCGGCTCACACATTTTTGTCTCGGCTCAGGCAGGAGGGCTCCAGAGCAAACTAATTGATGCAGCAGCCAAATCGCTCATTCACAACTTTAATGCCAGTAGCTCACAAAGTGGAATTTTTGCTCACAGGACTCCACAGCTTAGAGCAGTGGTGGCGAACCTATGGCACGGGGGCCAGAGGTGGCACTCAGAGCCCTCTCTGTGGGCACGCGTGTCATCGCCCCAGCCAGGCCCAGACCATCATTAAAGCGTCAAATTCTCTGCCAAATAGTTTAAAGTCAATGAAAGCATTTGGGATTGCTTTCCTTACTTTGTTTGGATCATCTTAAGTTAATGTATGAGTTGTTTTTTCTAAAGTAAAACCTCAGTATTCAGGTTAAATTGCCGTGTTGGCACTTTGCGATAAATAAGTGGGTTTTGGGTCGCAGTTTGGGCACTCGGTCTCTAAAAGGTTCGCCATCACTGGCTTAGAGTGAGCATTGCTGGCGATCTCCTCGGATTACTACTCATCTCCAGGTGGCAGAGCTGGGAACCCTACGAATGGCCCTGTGGAAAATAGCTGTCCCATAGATGACTCCAAATTTCCGTTTCCCCTCTTGTTAGAGAACAGACGGAGGCCCTTTTCTTCCTCGCCAGTCACCACAGGGTGTTAAATGAGTTCCTCAGTGGATTGTTCTGTGACTGATGGTTCTGGGAGAGGGGAAGTCATTCTGTACCTGACTCAGAGGGGAGGATGTTTTTCTGGAGGAACGGGAGGGTTTCCCACTTTGGCTGTTCTGCTGGGTGGGAAGTTCCTTCCGGCCTGCCTTTGTTCCACTGCCCCCTCTCCCCCCCCCCCCCCCCCCCGGGCCGCAAAAATACCAGGTGCCATCCGGAGGTCCAGCAGTGGGGCCAGGACACCAGAAGCCCTCCCACTGTTGCCCCCCCAAGCACCGAGAATACAGAGCATCCCTTGCCCCAGACTGAGAGTTCCTATCTACACCTTGTGGCTAATAGCTACTGAGGGACCTCTGCTCCAGATGTTTATCCAGTTCCCTCTTGAAGCCGTCCATGCTTGTAGCCACCACCACCTCCTGTGGCAGTGAATTCCATGTGTTAATCACTCTTTGGGTGAGGAAGGACTTCCTTTTATCCGTTCTAACCCGACCGCTCAGCCATTTCATGGAGTGCCCACAAGAAGTTCTTGTATTGTGAGAAAGGGAGAAAAGGACCTCTTTCTCTGCCTGCTCTATCCCATGCATAATCTTATAAACCTCGATCCTGTCACCCCTCAGCCGTTGTTTCTGCAAGCTAAAGAGCCCCAAGCGCTTTAACCTTCCTTCGTAGGGGAAGTGTTCTGACCCTTTTATCATCCTAGTTGCCCTTTTCTGCACTTTCTCCAATCCTATAATATCCTTTCTGAGGTGTGGTGACCAGAATTGCACACAGTACTTCAAATGAAGTTGCACCATCGATTTATACAGGGGCATGATGATACTGGTGGATTTGTTTTCAGTTCCCTTCCTAATAATCCCCAGCGTAGCGTCGGCCTTCTTTATTGCAGTTGCACACTGTCTCGACATTTTCAGTGAGTTATCTACTACAACTCCAAGATCTCTCTCATTTCTGGGACCCAGGAGTCCCAGAAATGGAAACCGCCTGTCTACAAACAAGAGCGTGCTCTGCCATCATGTCTTGCCAACTCTGTCCTGGGACATTCCTGGAGATTTGGGGGCAGTGCCTCTGGAGAGGACAATTT